TCTTGTTTCTCAGCAGATTTATAGGGAACATGATTTAATGTATATATTTTTTCCCTCAGAATGTTTTATATGTCATGAAATTCTACAGCTGATTATCAGGACCACGTCTATCTGGACTATCCTCTTCCTGACCATCCATTTATACTAGTCTAATTCATTAAACAAAGGCATTGAATGGTCAATATTCCTTTGCTAAGGTGTATTTAGAAACTGTCCCCATGGAAAAGGAAAAAAAAAACAACATTGTTTTCATTATTCTTGTTTCATTTTTGCAATATAAAGCCCTTTTAAGATTGGAGGAATGAAGGTTACTTTTCAAAAGCTCTGTGCACAGCTTTTGCTAATAATTTTATTCCCCTTCTTCTTTTCCACCTTCATTCCCATGGTAAAGATGGCTATGTCTGTATCAGGAATCATGTCCTTGCCTCCCACAGATCTTCTCTGATATACATACCTGACCTGGGATGAGTTCAAGCTTGTGTCTGTTTCAACAGGCAAGACTGGCATTGTTCAGAAGGCACCTGACACAAATGGAGAAGTCTATGGGCACTGCTTTCCTTGCTTTGCGTACTTCTCAGTTGCTTTTGAAGCCATGTGTGGCCCTAGAAGACTGTCCTAGTGAGGAGCAGCATCCTGAGACAGTCATGGCCTCATTTGAATTTAGAGGAGTGGGTTTCCAAAGGTATTTTGACATATACTGAGGAGCCTTCAAGTCACTTCAGAGGTTGCTCATAAAATGAGACTACAAGGTAGGAAATGCTATGCAGATGGTAGATTCTACTGCTGGCAGAAACCTTGCTCAGAGAAACATGCAAATGTATCTCCTCTGGCTTGCAGCAGGTGACTCTAAGAAACTATTTCTTGCAACTTATGTCTTAGAGTTATAGAATCAGGTTTTTTGTCCAAGACTTTTTGCTTCCCTTCGTTTTTAGTGGTATGTTTTAAGGTAGGATCCCAAACGTGTAGAAATATTAAAAAAGCTTCACTGATCGCACTGGTGACAAGTCAGACCAGAACTGACAGCAGCATCTTCTTCTTTACCGGGCAGTTTTAGCAGCTGGGAAGATGTGCTTCATCTGTCCTGCAAACTGCACCGAAGCCTCTGTTGATTTCATTAAAACACAAAGATTCATAGGTTATGAGGCTAGAAAGAGCCATTATGATAATCTAGGCTGATTTGCTGTATAATTAATTCCTGTCTCACTATGTCTTTTAGGGAAAACAGGATACTATTTTAATTTAAATTTTGCCAGTAGCAGAGAACACACTATAACCTGTAGTAAATTATTTCAGTAGCAAATTACTCTCATATAAAAATGAGTCATAATATTTTAAAATGTGAATTTCTCGAACTTCAACGTCTAGCCCCCAGATCTCATTGTCCCTTTGTCACATGCATCGAAGACCCCTCTCTTGCCAAATTCCATTTTCTGCACAGGTACTTGTAGATTGCAATCAAATAACATTTTAACCTCTACCTATTAAACAGATTGAATTTGAATGTTCTCCACTATGAGACATGCATGCCAGTCATTTAATTATATTCCCTCCTCAATCTTGAACCTTTGGTTTAACAATTGAACTGTCATTATCAGAAGCTGTCTTAGCATTTCTCCACTCCTGCCAAGGATTCACATTGGTTTTACACCTCACCATTATTTCTATCCTTTTATTGTTATGAGAGTTCTGATGTACTTGATTATACATCATGATGTTGATGTCCAAATGTGTCTGTCAATAATATTTCAAGTCTCCTATGGAAACACTAGCACTTCTTCCATAAACATAAGTGCTTTTTTAGATATCTCAAGCTAGGTGTTTTGTTCCCTTTTTTTTTTTTTTTTTTTTTTAAAGAAAATAATTTAGAACAACATTTGATAACAGAGATTCAGATTGGGGGGGGATATGTTTCTTTGTAAAGATTGAATTCAGAGCTCTTGTATCTATTCAACAGCCTTCCTCATCTCCTCCCCAGGTCTTCCTTGGTGCTTGCTTTCGAAGTCTCTTCATTCTTGGCCTCAGAGTCTTCACTGTTAGTCACTTTCTTGATTACAACTAACTTTATATAATTTTTCTCTGGATCCTTTGAAAGCATTCAGTCTCAAGGATTTTCCAGCTCTGGTACTTGTATGATTAGTGAAATGCAAAGCAGTCAGCATCACATTCAAATAAACTCAGAGGCAAACCCTCTGCATTTCCCCAGAAAAGATGGGACCTGTTACTCAAGTACCAAATACCTCAAAGAGGGAGGTGTAACCTGTATGTGGCTCAGCTGTGTGTGGGAGCTGCTTATGTGTGTATGCTATTTCCCCTACCAGCAACCCACAGAGATTGCTGAAAACAAATCAGTCATGGCTAGATACAGCCCAGCACCACCCATGTAGGGTACTGTGCTACCTGTCTGCTCCTCTCATGTATGAGAAGACTGGGTCAAGATGCAGTTTAGAGGAGTGTTGATTTGAACAATTATTAGTAGTGTCCTATAAGGGCAGCTCTCTCCTTCCTTAGAGTCATTTAAGCCTCAGCTCATTCAGGCCTGGCATTCTCTTGCCCACCAAAGCAACTCCATGCTGTGGTGAAACCAAAAATGCAATGGTGCACCAAAGTTGTAACCCCTCATGGGCCTGAAGAGTGGTCAGTCCATGCACCCAGTATGGTGTCTTCAATAGTGGAGGTGCAGGTGCTGTTTAGGGAGAGCACATGACCATGGCTGCTGTCAGTGCTGCATTCCCTTAAATTCCCACAGCACCCGCTGCTGTTGATTTACAATTGCTAGAAGATGCACTCCTTCCTTTTTCCTTCAATATCAGCTTGTGGACTTGCTGTCCATTGTTATTTTTGGTTCTTTTTGTGTCTTCTGTTGCACCCTACATCCATGACCTCTCCTGGCAGCAAGTTCCAGAAGTTCACTAACCTCTGTGTAATTAAGTACTTGTAAAAATGAATTTTATGCTGATTTCATACAAGTTTCAGCAAGTGCCTCTAACTCTGTTATTGCTGGGTTTGGCAAAGAGCAGTTCTACATTAACCTTTTCCATCTTCTGTAAACTTCAATCACGTTTTTCTCAGTCATCTCCAAATATGAGCTTGGCCTTTTCAGCCTATCCTCATAAAGCAGCCTGTTCCATCCTCTTAGTTGCTCTATTTATTTCCTCTTTCTCCTTGAGAAACAGAGACCTCATGCAGTACTCCAAACTAAAATCTGACTGAGGTGCACCTCATTGTCTGGGAAGAGAGGAGGCTCTAATGCACCTCTTTGGTGTGTCAGTGGAAGGAGGTGTATGGTCTCGCTAATGAGAGCATTTGACATGATTAATCTGTAGAATAAAACTACTACAGTCCCATAAATTGAAAATGAATTTTCTCCCTGTTGCAGATATTAATAGCCTTGATGTTTCTGATGCCTCTGTGAGGGCAGAGCATGTTATTAGGAATTGGAGCAAAACCAGTTACTGTGGGTCAATACTGTCCTCTGCTGGGAAGAGCTAGAGCTTTGTGCCATTTCTCCAAATGGGATTTAACAGTTGGCTTCTCCTTTCACTCTGCATTTTGCCTTTGCAACAGGCAAATCTGACTGCACCAGGGAAATTCTCCTTTAATGCTTAAGAGAAAGCTGGAAATTTTTGCCAGCAATGAATGTATTGAATCATGGTTTAATTCAAGTTTTCATCTTGAAGTTATCCAATTTATAAGCTTATCCTTCATTCTTTCTCTCATTTGCCTTTTAATATTTACTGCATACACATTTTTCTGACTTTCCTGTCCTAATAGTAGAAGTAACTATGCATATCTCCTTTCCCTTCCATTTTTGTAACAAATTGCTGAAGACTCATCCTGATAAGATTTTTGAAAGCAGAAATCAAGTGTGTGTATATATATGCTATATGTGACAGACACAAAGTATTTTAGAATAATAACTCCTTAGAAGAAATTAATCTTCAGTAGTGTCACTGAACAAGAATTCAATAAAAATTGTGCTAGTTGCAGAAGTGGTTTTACTTGCTGTACATGCCAGCTCTGCATTTAGCAAGTGTGGAAGATAATTGAGAGGAAGTACAGTTCACAAGTATTTCAATTTTGTGCCTTCTCCAGCTCCTGCCTCTGTGAGAATGGCATGGGCCAGAGGAGAGTCTGCCTTCCAGGAATTCATTCTGTACCTGAGAGAAAGAGAACAGTAGGAGATCTGGACTCCTGAGTAAGCCAGACATGCTCAGGAGTGCTTGCCTGTTTGAGACTCTTCTCTTGGCTGATTTCAATCCAAGTAGCAAGAATAGACCTGAGTTCTGGTCCTTAACCCAGAGAAAGGGAGAGTCCAGGCACTGAAAGTGTATAGGTTTTTATGTGTTAGCACAAACGTTGTTGGTTTCTTGAAGTAAGGGTAAGCTATAGAAATATCTCCATGGCAAGTTTGTGTCAGTAGTGATCTAAGATTTCTTGGTCAGAGAAATTTGTCTTTTTTTTTTTCTTCAGGACCCACAGGGCAATCACTAACAGTTCACAGCAACTTGCTGAATTTTTTTTGCATCTCTCTTCTGGTAGTTAAGTAGGCTAGAGGAATAATAGAAAAATGACAGTGGTACCAAGTTCCCTGCTGTGGCTGGTAGAGATGGACATGGAGGTTACACTTTGTTATGTATTTTGTATGGGATTTATGCAAATATAACAGCATGATACCAGACACACACTGGATTTTATGTATAGAAGCTTTTACAGCTGAGTGGGCCTGTGGTAGAGTTAATTGTTCTCACTGCCCTTCAGTTAAATATTCTCTTCTGACTGCTTATCTGATCTATAGTCATTGCAAAGTACCCACTGTGGTCATTTCTATACACTCTTCTGGTCTAACTCACTCCCTCTGTCATGATGTCAGACTCTGGCACTCTCTCCTTTCCTCTCCCCACTGCCTTTTGGGAAAAGTTCATCTCCCATTGCTGAAAGTAATTGGGGTGTTTGTATTGTATGCAGGATTGATGTATGATACTCTTCCTTGTGTCTGGCAGGTTGTTTATAAGAATAACGACATTCGTCTGGAGCTGTCTCGCTTGGCACGGATTGGTGATACTAAGATGAAGATCTATGGTGAAGTGAAATTCATATGTGAAAATGTGGCTACACTGGATCCCATCAGCTTCGAGACACCTGAGGCCTATATTAGTCTGCCTAAATGGAATACCAAGAGGATGGGCTCCATCTCATTTGATTTTCGAACCACTGAACCCAATGGACTGATCCTTTTCACCCACGGCAAACCTCAGGAGAGGAAAGATACCAGAAGCCAGAAAAATACAAAGGTAGACTTCTTTGCGGTTGAGCTTCTAGATGGAAACCTCTACTTGCTGCTGGACATGGGGTCTGGGACCATTAAAGTCAAGGCCACCCAGAAGAAAGCCAATGATGGAGAGTGGTATCATGTGGATATTCAACGAGATGGAAGATCGGGTAGAGTTATAACTTTTTCTTAAATAGATTCATATTTCAGATTCAGACCTAGGTCTATGTATTAATTCTCAGAACACTCAAAACTGTTAAATATGAGTCACCTCCTTAACAAAACTTAGTGTCTTAGTGTTATTCCAGTGGTGTTTATCCAGCAAGGCAAAGATGTGAATGGTTTTCATTAAATGTTTTCATTAAATGTATAGTGTGAACTTAGAATAGCACATCACAGAGGTTTTATTCACAATCCTCAGATATTCTGGACATATATTTGCAATTGCAGGCATAGTTATGGTGGTTATTTCTTTGTGGGCATGGTTAAGGTTTAAGGTCCTTCAGTACCATTGTTCTCAGTTTGAGAAATTCTTACTGATCTACCTTGGGTTTCTGCATGTGGGATCTTGTTGTGAGAAAAATAAGTGACGAAATTATGGCAACAGATCAACCTTTTCATCCTATTCTGTTTCCTTTAGTATCCTGTAGTTTTGAGTTAGGTTTCATTACTCTTTTGAATGACAGATTCTAGCCTTAAAATCTGAGACACCATTCAGTGGATGTTTCTTTTCTTTCTTTGCAGCTTCTCATTTTCAAATATGGGTTTTAGTTTATTTCTAAAAATACACCTACCATGCAATTTCCAAGAGATTTTTTTTTATTGTTTCCAGTGCTGAATATCAAACTAACATGCTCATGATCTACTCTGAAACTGTGGAGGAAAACAAAAGGCTCAGCTTACTGTAGCTTCATCTAGAGAATAACAATAGTGCTTCAATTCTTTCTGAACTGTTAGTATCTCAAAGCATTCACTTCAAAAGGAATTTTGCTTACATTTGCCAGTGAATTTGAGATTTGTCTGGTGATCTCCAGATGATAGTTTTAGGTCCCTAATTTTAGGTTTCCAGTTGCTGAATACTATCAGTATAGGGAGTGCAGTGCTAGAATTTGCTTCCCTTGAGTTTTTAGAAGAGCTGACTTTGAGATAACATGCAAGGCCTAGCTGTTTGAACAGGTCTTTGCCTGAAGCTATTGTTTCCTTTGATGATGTGAGTAGTTTCCTTCTATTTGGCATGGCGCTCTGCTTGGACTTACAATATGTGTGGTTATATGTTGCTATCTCCTAAAGGCATCAATAAGAGCATTTTACAAAGAAAGCCATAAATAAATAAATAAATGGAGGTTTGATGTCTTTAGAATTGCTAAAATTTAATTAACTTCCAGGGGTAAAGTCAGTCAGCTGTGTTTCTTACTGACTTCATTTTTGCTTGCTCACTTGGGGATTGTCTCATCCCTGAAGAAGCAGCTGCAGAGGGAGAAGAGACAGAAATGACACAGGCTCTATGCAAAGAATGTTTGCAAAACCCTGCCAAGAGGGGCACGTGTTAATTTGGACACATTCCACAGGAGGGTGTGGCAGACACATTGCTACTTGATGGATGGCACAGTAGGGCTGACTTGTTTGTCGCTTGGCAGGGAGGTTTATGATGTTCTGGACACTGATTAGAGGTAACAGATTTTGAAACAGTGTTCTCAACAAGAAAGACTGTGTTCGTATTATGTCTTGTCCGTTTTTTTTTTTTTTAAATGTTGTTGTGTTCTCTGCTCACAATGAATACTTAGTTAATGATCCTAATGACTGATGTCTTGTGTCCTGAGAAAACCAGGATACTGGCATTGATTTCTGCACATTGTACCTTCAGTCACTATTATCCAATGACACTTTGGATAAGTGTGAGAAAGGAGTTCAAGACCTCTTCTTGTTTAGTCCTTGGCTTTTCTTCCACATGTGGACTGGAGAATGGTTACACCTTGAAGATTTTTTCCCCCCCAGTGTAGATGACTATAATTTAGAAACTGAAACAGTTAATTTACTTAATGGGGGCTAAAACCACCCTTTTGAGTTTAATGAGCTAGTAACCTGCAACTTCTGATTCTCATTACTAAAGCAGCCTATGTCATCTCTCTCTGTTTTTTTTCCATTTCTATAATAGTCCAAAACTTCAAGTTTTGCTGATCTAAAATAGCTTAAAAATCAAAATATTCACTATTGCAGTGCACTGAGGCAGGGAAGCTTGTCAGTCATGCCCAGATAACCTCTGGCATCTCTAGTCCCCTTAGGCCTTGTGTATGCTTTGGTCTGTGTTGGCTGCCAGAGCAACAAAACCTGGTTTGGTCTTTCTGTTCTTACAGAAGCTGGCAGTGTGGGCATGGACACCTAACCTTTCTGTCCTTTCTTAAAGGTCCTGTTACCTTTCTGTCCTTAGGGAAAGCTCCCACCAAGGTCACAAAGCGTATCACAGTTTCTAGTTTGGGAACAGTGAGCACTTTAAGCAGGACAATGTTTTCAGCTAGTCATCAGCTACAAAACCTGCATGACTTACCACCTGATCAGGCACTAAAAATCTTACTAGATATTTTGGTTTACAGTTGTATTAGTGCACTGTTTGGTGTGTCTGTTCTGCCCTCAGGGGATGTTTTGGTCTGTTCTTCAGTCCAGCACAAAGAGCAGGTGGCACTGCAGAGGAGATGCTCAAATGCTTCTGATTTCTCCAGGTGGACTTGGATCTATTCTAAGCAGAGTGCAAAATGCGGGATGCTGGAGGGATAAAAAAAAAAAGGATGTCAGTTTATGCGAGTGCTCCTTTCTAGGATCAATACAGAATTTCTCCATCTCAGCAGCTTGGTCTTAAAAGTGCTGTTCATCCAAACTAGTGCCATCTCCTTGCAGGAGTTATTGCAGGGTACAAAGCACTCAGAATGTTTAGGTTGCTGTCTAGCCTATTTCTTATTCATCATCTCACCATCTTTCTCCAGGTTTTACACTTCATATTATCCAATATTTCTTGTCTTTTATGGGGTTTCTTTACCTTTGTGGCATTTGCACTTGTTTGTTCTCTCCACGGTAGCAGCTGTCTAGAGCTCAGCCCTCCAGTGTTTTCGTTCTAAGCTTTAGAGTAATATGTACTATACAGGCTGCTTTTGAGAAATAGCACTGGAGATGCTGGAAAGGGAGTTGTGTTCCTGTGGCTCCATGACATACTGCCTGTGTGACAGTGTGTGTATTGTCACATTTTCTCTTCCGTATTTTATAAAAGAAAAAATGCCTGTGGTGCTCCAGCTTGTTGATACAAAATTCATCAAATAACTGTGGTTCTCTTTGAGCCTTTAATTTGTAATGCCTCTGTTGCTTCTGACACTCTGCTGCCTCCAATATTATTCCTCAATTATTATGGAAAATCACACACATGGAATACCTTGTGTATGTGTCATACATGCAATTCTCTAAAAAGATACTGCTTACAACTGAACAAAAGGTGTGTGTACATAACTGTACTGTCTTACAGAGACAATAGATAGAGTTGATCTCTTAACTCTCCTTCCATATTGTAGAGGTGTCTGATAAAAATCCAATGATGTGGAATTAATCTTAAAGCTTGGATAGTGTCTCTGAAGACAGACTGTCTTAATGACAAGGCAATTCAATGTGATGATTTATAGCCAGGGAGAGCAAATTGCTGATTTTTAGATGAGTGTCTAGTGGGCAGATATCCCTATCACAGAAACTGCTGAATTCTCTTCAGAAGACCACACTGTTCTGGAATGTGAGAGATGTGCATTATGTTCTCTGTTTTTCTTTGGATAAACTGTCTGACCTTAAACAAGTCACTTGGCTTTTCTGTACCTGTTTTACATATTCTGATTATATTTCTGTATTATGTGTTCTGATTATTCTGGGACAATTTCTTGAAATACATGTGAATGACCTCAATGCAGGATGCCCACATTTCATTTGGAGCATATGGAAGCTATCACAGTTTTAATAATAACTGTCGTTCAGATATAAGTTTGTCTCTCTCTTCCTCAATTTTCCTGTCTAAAATGGAAACTAGAAAACTTTCTTTGTAAAGCCGTACAATGTTTTACTTTGGGACAAACTTCTGGAGATTTCTAGTACAATCTAGACTGTCTTCAGGGTTGTGTGCAGTCAGCTTTGAATGCCTTCAGTCTGGTAAACCTCTCTGAGGTTTATGTTTCTGCAATTGACCACTTTTGTGGTGAAAAATGTCCTTTTCTGTGGAGTTGAAGATTCCCTTATGTTGTGGCTTAAGAATGGTACTCTCTCATTCAGTGGTCCCATTGAGACTCTGCAAATCACGCTACTCACTTCCCCTGGCCATGCCCCTCCCAGCTACTGCAAAGAATTGCTCTGTTCTGGCTGGAACCAGGACACCTTAGTGCAGCTTGTGTCTCTTGCCACTACGAGTTCACTGCTAATTCATGTTCAAGGTTCAAGTTGTCTGCCGTATCTCCAGGTCCTTTTCTGCAGTTGTTCCTTAGACAGCTGGTCACTGGCCTGTACTTATGTGTGAGGCTTTTGTGACTCAGGTGTAGTACTTTGTATTTATTGGTTTTAATTTACATCAAACACTGCTCCCAGTCCTTTGCACCACCTTGCAATGGTTTCTCTAAATGGTCACCCAGTGCTTCCTCCAATGCATTAGCCATTCTCTCCATGTCACTTACAAGCATGTCTATGTTGGCCCATCATCCAGGCCCAGGTTTGGAGGTACTGATGAAGTGTTTTCCGAAAGTGTTATATAGTGAGAATTAAAACACTTTTGCATATCTTTTTCCTCTCTAGTGTTTATGCCATCAAACTCCCATGTGTTCTCAATAAGTTTTTGCTTTGCTGGATGAATACCATTGAATAATGCTCAAATTTTACATGCTATTATTTATCTATTGAATTATTATGCTTCTGACTTTGTAATGCAATTTGGGATACAGATGCATGATCGGTCACCACATGGAAGTACTTAGGACCTGTGGATCAAGAGGAGAGGGAGCTGTGTGAAAGACAGTGTTAGAATGCCATTTGGGTAGGAAAGAATCTTCACTCTCCTGTGCTGAACCTTAAACCTCACTCAGTTGCTGGGAAAAAAATGAACTGAACTGAGTCTGTAGTTGAAAGTGTTGATGTCTCTTATCTTCCTCATTTAGGTACTATATCAGTGAACAGCCGACGCACCCCGTTCACCGCTAGCGGGGAGAGTGAGATCCTGGATCTGGAAGGTGACATGTACCTGGGTGGGCTGCCAGAGAACCGGGCAGGGCTCATCCTTCCCACAGAGCTCTGGACAGCAATGCTGAACTATGGCTATGTCGGCTGTATCCGAGACTTGTTCATCGACGGACGGAGCAAGAACATCCGGCAGCTGGCAGAAGCGCAGAATGCCGCCGGAGTCAAGTCCTCCTGCTCCCGCCTCAGCACCAAGCAGTGTGACAGCTACCCCTGTAAGAACAATGCAGTCTGCAAGGATGGCTGGAACCGCTTCATTTGTGACTGCACTGGCACCGGCTACTGGGGTAGAACATGTGAGCGAGGTAAGTTGTGTTTTCTGACTTCACTTACATAAAGCTGAATGTGTGCATGAGAACAAGAACAAAATCCAGTGTTCCCATAAGACTCTCCCCTGCCCTTGTTGGCCTTCCCAGCTAAGTTCTAGTCCCCACAGTAGGAAGACTTTCTTCTCTGATTGTTTCCGTCCAGTCTTTTCCACCCTTGTTTCATGAACTTACTTGGCCGCTTCCCTCCCTAAGCCTTCTGAAGATCCTGTCTTCAGGTTCCAGAGTTTCTTTAGTTAAGTGTGGTTTGTCTCCTGAGGTGGAAAATGCAGCTGCACTTGAGAAGTCTCAAACTAATTATTGAAAATTGTACCACGTGTGAGCTTCAGTTATGGAGATTTTTCCTGCATGGGAGGGATGATGAATCCCAGTTCTCTCTGGGCTTCCTCTTTTTTTGGTCTAGTAGTATTTCCTTGATGGCTGTTTATGAGTAAAGCCAGCTAATGAAATAGTGTTAAAAGCAGCATGTCTCCAAGTTCATCTCCGGTAAGGCATATCTGTAGGAGATTCATGGGACAGTCTTTGCATCTTATTGATACTCATGCAGAATTGTGATTTAAAGACATATCAATTGGAGATATGAGGCCCGGGTGATGCTCGTGTAGGCAGGCACATTTTCTACGTGTTATAGATTACATGGAAAGGATTTGCTAATGGAAGATATTTGAACTATGTGTTTCCCAAGTACATAGGTAGTTGCATTAATTGTTGTTATCTTTATTATGCTGCTGCCACAGTCAGAAACCACAATCAGGTTTTACAGAAAAAGATGGGGCTAAGATCACTTCCAAAAAACTCCCACCTCCCTAGAGGGTGTTTTCTTATATTATATTATTCTTATATTTCTGTTAATATTTGGCCATTAGCACTGCATTTGGGCTAAACTGCATTCACAGTACACCCAAGAAATAACAGCAAACCATTAGCAGAGTCCTAGGGCTTCCAGTCCCTTCTTTATATCACCTCACTCGGCACCATGGTGATAGCATGTGTCTTAGAATTCAAAATTCAGATATTTTTGAACTTGTGCTATAATATTTGAGCAACACCTTTCCCACTTAGTGCATTTCTTAATATTAATCATAGTAGCATGCCACTTATGAGGAAGAACTTGGAATTTAGCTACAATGCATGAAATATTAGGCGTAATTGAGATTTGGAATTCATTCACTCTACAGAGGATTTTCTTCATTGCAGAAATTTTTTGTTAATGACCAAAATTCTTCCTATATGGATAGGATTTTTAGGTTTTCAAGTACAAGATCTGTGATTGTTCATGAAGCTGCTCACAGCCAGTAATTCATTGCATGCTACCCTAAGCAGCATTAGTAGTTAATTGCCAGTGGGCCTTAAAACAGCTGAAACATCAACACTGCCACCCATGCTGGGTGAACATGGGTGAACATGTAAGATTCATGGGCACCAGCTATGCCAATGTCAGCTCAGCAGTTCTCTCATCTGACTACATGGGATTTGAAAATTCTGGAAAACATCAGATACAAGTTTTCGCAGCCTTGATATTTGTTTTGGCCAGTTGTTGTGTGATCAGGTTTTATACAAACATGATAATTGGAAACGTTAGCATAAATGCGTTGTTCCCCCCAAAAATTGCAAGTATGTTTGCCCTTGGTCTCTCTTTAATATTAGGAGTGACCAGCTCTGTGATTCAGGACTTTGTGCAGTCTGATTAATGTCCATCTTCTAGACCTGGCTCACAGACGAGAATCCAAAGCTAACCAGGGACATAAGAACAGGGCTCATGTCATGAATCTTTATATATCAATGGCTTTAGCTTTTATTCTTTTTATTGTCAGTGAAAATAAATCAGTAGGTTAAAGGCACATAAGCATTTTAATTTGGGAGAAATGAATATCAAGTCAGGCCTGAGATCCGTAACTTGGCTGTGCTCTGGTGTGCATCACTCTGAATTAAGGAAATACATTTATGACTTAATGTCTAGCATGGGAACTTGAGGTCATAATAATAATAAACATGTTTTAGAATCAGAGTGTATTTAAGGTGAACAAAACTGTGATGAAACAGTTCAGGACAGTATAAAAGATGTATGCAAAGGTCCTAATCCTGAGAAACTAATTTTGTCTGTAACTAGAAACCACAGAGCCATTGCTGGCATAGTCCCAGTGTCAGGCAAAACATGGCACTATAATGCCTGATGCTCCTTGGCAATGTGAGAAGCAGCTCACAGGGAATAAATATTTGAGACTGGATACATGAAAAAAAATTGTACAAATGGAAGTGCATTTGAGTCCAGAATATTTATGTGGTGTTACATAGGAGCTTCATACTGCTCTGATAGAAATGCTTAATGTCAACAACTGCCTTAGTGCCCACTGATTTTTTCCTCCATAAACAACAAGCATTGCAGGCTACCAATGATACTTTTCATTCTCCTGGTCTGACACCCAAGGGTTATTTCAAGTCCTGATTACATCTGGTCTGTGATCATAATACTGTTGGAAGGAGGAAGGTTGAGATGGAGACTGGGAAGGGAATCAAAGTGAGGGATGCTGCTGTGCCACAGTGGCACTGCTGTGTACTGACTGATGAGCTGCCACAGGACCGGGGGGACAGCCAGGCTGGTGCATAAGGGTAGCAATGAAAGAACAGGCTAGATCTCCTAATATGGGACAGCTACCAGCCCACTTTTCCAGTTTGCCATCTCTCACTTTACTGTTTTCTAACACTTCTGTCCTGCTAAAAGAGGAGTGTAACTCCTGCAGCCCAAGATGTATGATCAAGGCTTAAGGGGCAGGGGAGCCTAGAATGAAGAATCTCCTGTACTTGGCGACTATCAGGAAAATCAGTCTTTATCACAAAGCAAAGCACATACTTAACATTAGTTAAAGTACTAAAAATAGGAAGGACATACATACAACTCTTGGAAGAGAAGCAGACGATCAATTTGTTGTTGATGATAAAGTCTACCTCCCACCTTTCAGGTATAGGATTTCTACATTTATAATGCTGCATTTCTCATAAATTTTATACTTTATGATATGAAGGATATTATACATTTAAAAGGCACTAAAAAGGACATTGATTGTGTCAGCTAGAAAAAAAGTTTGGGTTCCTTTTATTCATGGTGAAACAATACAAATGCAGAATATTCAGTATGTCACTTCTATCTAAAGCCTGTGGGAGTTTGTCTTGTCAGTGAAATAACACCTCTGTATATTCAGCCAGCTACACTCAATGCAACATAGACTTTGGTTATAGTGGTCTGCTCAAGGCAGTACTTTTGTGCAGATAGAGAAACCTTGCTGTAACTGGAGTTTGACAGGGAAGAGAACAGGGAACTGCTGCCAAGGCCTCAAATTCCTACAATTTCAGTATCTAGTCATTACTTCGGTATTGGCAGTGATGTAAGCAGACAAAAGTGTTAGCAGTCTGCAAGTATCTTAGCTTCTAACAGTAATGTAGTTTCTCCTTGGGTTATTGAAATTTCATGGAAGAGATGGGGCAAGACATAGAAAAGACCAGACTGTGCTTTCTTGGGTCATAAGGGCTCAGTGCCAGGCTGTGAGGCTGAGCAAACGCAGCAGCAAATGCTGGCAGTTAGCTTGATGTGGTCCCCATTTCACACCTTCCACCAGAGACCATGATGACCGGGTAACACACTGTTATTTTCTTAAATCCCTGCTTCTCATCCTGTGTCACCTTTCCATAATGGTTCTCTACTAAGCAGTCTAACTCAGTGTGACTATGTTGCAAATATGGTAAAGAAAGGCAAGAAAAAAGTAAAGCTAATAGACAGGATACAATTCCTTCTGCAGGTGATGCTCTGACTGCCTTGCAATGTGATAATGATTTCACCTCCCCCTGCTCCCTGAGCTCTCTTGCACTGCTCTTAAATATGGTGAAGAGAAAGACTTAATAATGCCAGAAAGACTCCTAAACTTAATTTAGTTTTGGATAGCTCTTAAATGAATCACAGGCACAGTGAAGTGGAATTATGATGACATTTATAATTGCAAGTGCATGCTGAGACTTTTTACTAAGTTTGCTACTTTTGGGTTGTGGTGTGCTGGGCATTAGGGGAAAAAAACCCCAAACCTTGGTGCATAGTACTGTAACATTCTTGCATTCTGGAGGTTTAGAAAGAGTAGAGTACCACAGAACAGTGTTTGTAGTGCAGCCTCTCTCTTGTGAAGTACCTTGTTTCAACAGGTTTGCTATTCTGCTGTTAGATTGAAATAAAGGGCCTAAACTGTCTGAAATCCCATGGGAATGCTTCCCAAATGCTTTCTGATAATCAGATGCTGGGCAAACTTTGAGGTAATTGACAAAAAGATTCCTCCAATGTGATGAATACCATGCTTCTTTCTGTTGCATGTGAGCCTCCTGTCCAAACTGAACCTAAGAGAAATTAGGGTGAGTTGCAGGTTGTGGTTGTATTCGAGGGACCCAGGACAAGGGAAGAGATGGGAATCTTGATTCCGTGTTTCAGAAGGCTGATATATATTATATTATATTATATTATATTACTATACTAAAACTATACTAAAAAGAATAGAGAGCAATGATCCATCAGAAAGGAATGGAAAGGAACGAATAATAAAAACCGGTGACTCTCAGGGAGTCCAACACAGCTGGACCATGCGATTGGTCATTAAGTAGAAACAACTCACATGGACCAAAGATGCACCTGTTGGTGAACAATATTCAGACCACATTGCACAGCCATCAGATAATTATTGTTTACATTTCTTTTCTGAGGCTTCTCAGCTCCTCAGGAGAAAATCCTAGCAAAGGGATTTTCATAAAATATCATGGTGACAGCAAGTCATGTCAGCAAGGGCTGGAGGACTATTGCAGACATGCAGGAGGGTGGGAAGTGTGGGTTTGTGCAGCAGTTGTGAAGGATCTTTGGAGGGTCTTTTTAAGTACTTAATGTCTTCTTTGCCTTGTAATTTGTTAGTGTTTGACATCAGTTGCATCAGGTCATTGCAACTCCCTGT